AAATCGAAAAATGACTCGCAGTGGTTTCACCTATTTTGGAATTTAATTGTTATTTATGGTGAAATGGGCAGAATCGCGGCGCGTGCTTTCCGTACATTCATTCTAAAACTGGAACGAAATTGTATGAATTTTGGAAATTTTGTACCCCTAATGCACTACAAACGGTTGAAGCACAAGTGATACAAAGCTCTACAAGAGAATATTTAAGAAAATGAATTGAATTGCAAATGCAAGATTAACAAATTTTTCAAAAATTTTCCGTCCTATATCCTTAATAAATGAGTTATTTATTAATGAATTATTTAGACTAGAACTAGAATCAATGGTATTAAAGACTCCATTCCTTGATTTGTTTAAAATTCGATTGTTATAAAATCATGGCCAACTACTAAAAAGAAAATGCGAAAAAAAATGGCATCAATTCCGAGATCAATCCAATGAAATGGGAATAAATCAGAAACTGTTAAAGATAGCTATAGGAACATGTAATATCAAAATATGCCAATTTCGATTCTCTATCTCATGCAATATTAAGAACATGGTCATTCCATTTAAAAAAACTGAGTTTATGGACTTTGAAGTTTCTTCAATTTGGATCTCCATAGGTGCGGTTGTACGCAACTTAACTTTTTTTTAAGTACACTAAAAGAAAGCCCTATTCATTCTCTATGCACTGATAAAAATGGGTTGCCATGACTATAACCGTTTTCAAGTAATCAATTATCAAGGTACCATCTGCATCCGCCATTTTTTTTCTTAAAGTCAAAATAACTTAAAAATCATAAATGGCAGATATCGACATATGGGTATCAAAAGAACTGAAATTTCACGTAGAATCCAAAAATGCAATAAAAAATAGGGGTTGCCATTTAAAATAACGGAATTACTATCTACTTCCGGTGTTTCCGGAAGTGCGGACATTTTGAAAATATTTTACATCGATTCGGCCTTCAGAGTAACTCCTAAGTACAAATTTTCAAAAACCTACGTATTTGACTTTCCCAGAAACGTTTAACTAAAGCTCCCAAAAAAACACCCTGTATAGCTGGGACTATTGATCTTGGTATAGTATATCAAAGTAACGCTAAGAAGGGAGCGTTCGAATGCTACAGTGATGCTGATTTCGGTGGTTGTAGTAAAACAGGTCGTTCAACATCAGGAGTACTGGTGAAATATGCCAATGGAGCTGTTTCTTGGATTAGTCAGCGACAAGGTTCCGTAACAGAATCTACAGCTGAAGCAGAAATCGTAGCTGCAAGTGAAGCCGCAAAGGAAGTTATTTGGCTTACTCGAGTTTTGCAAGAAATTACATTTTTAAAGGAAATTCCAGTTATCCAGATTGACAACGCAGCAGCCGTTAGACTTTCTGAGAATCCCGAAAATCATCGCAGAACCAAGCACATCCAAAGGAAACACTTCTTTATTCGTGAGCATGTTAGTGAAGGCACTTTGGTTGTAGAAAAGGTTTCATCTGAACATCAGGTAGCTGACATTATGACCAAGCCTCTCGCTCAAACAAGATTACATATCCTTTGTGTAAAGATGGGACTTGTATAATTATTAATTTTTATCAAACAAGGGAAAGTGTTAAAGTCAGTTAAAGTTAGTGTTAGATAAAAAATAATAGGCGGCGTATTTCATAGTTTAGAAAGATTAGAATTTTTACCGTAACTGTCACATGTAATAACGCTCAATCTTGTAATCAATAATATCATTTTCATTAAAGTTTAACGTTGAATTATATTAAAATGTACTTATCAAGTCTATGTCGTTAAGAATTCTCTCGATAATTATCTACCTTCTTAGTTTAGTTGTGAGATTAATCGATAGATTATCGGTAATTATAGATTTATAGATCAATCCTTTAAAATTTTAGATAAATTATGGATTAGGCGACCATTTTTTTAAAATTATCGACTATTTATTAATCGACAATATCGTCAGTAGCCAGAAACATTTGTATACTTTGCCAGCACGGCGGCAAATGTTTCTGGCTACTGACGTAACGCGGAGTAATCTCGCGCACCAGGTACGTCTTCTTGCTGCGCGCCGACCAAGTGCTTACAGCGGACGTAAATATCAATATTTTGCACCCAATTTTTTTTGGTTGGTATTTTAATAACAAAAAATAAAACACATACCAAAAATGTCGAACCTCCCTATTATGGAGATATGGACCATTTTCGACAAAAGTGTCAATAATAATCGATTATTATCGACAGCTAACAATCATTATTGATTATTTTCAAAAGTTATCGATAATTATTAAACGTTATCGATATGAGCAGCTAGCAGCGCGACGCAATCACCTTAACCCGCAACACAGTTGCACGTTCAAATCCAGTTCACGAAGTGGTGCACGGATAATGGCATTAGGCATTACCGAATATACAGAACAAGTTATGCTAGCATACTTCCAATTCCAAGTAAAATCAGAAACCATGAAATCTTCGACATTATGGACCATATAAAATCAACTTTAAACGTCCATCACAATGTAAAGGTTTCAAACTTTCATCGTTTGATACCATTTTTGAAAAGGCAAAGTGATTACTACGAACCTAAAAAATCTAGCATCTAAACCGAAACTCAAATGAATGAATTCTTACAAAAGGCCCCCAGATGAGACAGGTTTTTACTTATAAAGGTGGGTAAATGTAAAAAAATAAATGCAATACTATAACAATAGTTATATAACCCTGTATTACCGACACGCCACTGACATACTAGGTACATAACCTCTAAACAAAATATGTTCAATAATTTAATGTATTTTATATGATGTACTAACCCTATTTAATTTTTCAGCCTATATACACATGATAGACATCACACATTTAAAAATTCATACAACACATGGCTATATCGCACATATTTCATTCTAATTGACGGTAAGATAATTTCCAACATATTTATTTGTATCATTCGTTCATCTCGAGGTTCATCTCAAATGTATTCTAACTAAGGCCTGATGACATAAAAAAGTCCAAATCGATTGCCCAGAGAAAATATAACAAATATAAGTTTTTACTCTATCATCTAATTATTTATCACACTCTTAACACTATAAAAGCTAAAACTATATTTACAAAACACATTCAAATTCTGGTTCAAGCACAAATATCCCTACCTAGACCTACAGCTACACTATATTTTTATTATAATATGTACAGTTCTTAAAATTGTAGGCTGTGCTAGAAAAAATGTTGAGTTTAAAGTTGTTCAGAATTAAAAGGTGCATACAAAACTGTTTTTACATGTTTTATTAAGCTTTTGGTATACCCGCAAATTTAAAAATAAATTTCAACATTTCTGTTATTAGTAGCAATTCATAAAACAACAAAAGTCATGGCTATTGCTACTAATAACAAAAGTGTTGAAATTTATTTTTAAATTTGCGGGTAGGTATACCAAAAGCTATAAAACATGTAAAAACAGTTTTGTATACACCTTTTAATTCTGAACAACTTTAACCTTTAAAGTTTTTTCTGTAAAATGTACAGGAGGGCAGGATATTGCGTAAAACGAATTTCCCATGTGAAATCCCCATGTTCCTACTTACCGTGCACCACCCGGTATATTTCATAGTTTTGCGTTGACAAGCAAATTAACTTACTTGGTCTAGGCCCTTATTAATCACTGAAAATTCATTAAAAAAAAGTATCACTTTCAAAACTAGTTGAACAAATAACTATTGTACAACCATTGAAAATTCAATGGTACAACTAGTTTTGAAAGTGATACGCCCTCATTAATCAAAATGCAAATGCATGAGCAAAAGAGACTTTCAACACGTATTCGTACGATACAATGATCGTACTCTTGCAGTACCTTACCTGGCAATGCGAGCAGATACCAACCGACGCATTTTGCAATTTAAAACAGCACTGTTGCCCGTATAAAGAATGAACAGCCTGCCTAAAAGGTATATTCTAAATTTTTCAAAAGCCACACAACCACCAAAGCTTTGGTCTTATTAATACTAACAGCGTTCACTATTGAGCACCTTCCGCCCCCCATCTACTATTTGGTACCTACTTTACTTTTGCTTCTTAAAGAGTAGCCCCCTGCCACTTGTTCTTCTGTCCCCATATTTGCCTAGTTTTTGCTCAACGGCGTTCTTGATAACGGCATTTTGCCCCATGTTGGGCGCCAAAAGGTAGTAACAGAGCATAGGGTGGGTGAATAAATGTTTAATGCCAAAACCCAAAAACTGATATAATTGCCGGCCGATCGAACAAAAAAAACTAAAAATACCATTGCATGAACAAAAGTAACTTTTTAATAAGTCTATTGAAAATAGGTCTAATCCAATGACCCAGTAAGGTCACAACGCTCCTTCACTTTTCTAGATCCACTTTACACGGCTATTGATTGTAAATCAAAAACCAAAAGTTTTTTTAATATTTATTAATTATCTCAAACTTTTGTTATAACATTTTTCGTTGCAACGACCTTTCTTGAAAAAGATAAAAAACATCTCGATAGTTCCAAAACTAATGCTAAAACTAAATGTGTGAAATCAATTCCGTTTGTCTTTGATCACATATTCTGTTGATAAAAATCAAAATTAGTATTTTTAGGTCACTTTCTTTAGTCCCCTAGCATCCACTGCAAACTAGTTTTAAAAATTGTTAACACTACACTAACATTATATTTGTACGATTTTTGGGTATCAGGTACATAATATATTGCGATTGTAGTTTAATTAACTAAATTAGTCATTTTGTGCTTTTAATTACTTGTAAATACTAATTTTCTCCGTTTCTACATGGTACATTATCACAATTTTTAATGACTGGCCTATATGCACAATATTTTCTTTTGAACATTGTAATAACTTGCCCCACAAATGATTTAAACATTTTACACGTTTCGCACCTCTAGACTATTGCAAGTACTAAACTCGCAACAAATGGTATTAGCTGTAATCCTTTAATTAAAGGTATGAGATGAGCGTAATGTTTTATGATAGTAAAGAGAAGTAGTAAATCCAAAAATAAAAAACTATTCTTTTTATTCTAACTGATCGAATATCGCATGAGATGGATCAACTTTGTTATGCTGTAGGTACTTATCTACACAGTTCACGTTTCAAACAATCAAACAAATTATTATACATTATATATAGACCCAGTACTGCCACTTGTAATAAAAATAAAACTTCAAAATTGAAAAATTAGAACTATACACTGCATTATGTTCATGTTTAAAAAGCCCCAAATACAAAAAGTTTACATAATCGATAATGTCTGGTTCCTTCCATCATATCCAGTGTTACTTAGATGTACCTTACTGTCAAAAAGCAAGACAGTTTTGGTGCTAGTATACGTTACTTCTTGTATAACAAATTAATATACTATACCAAATTTGAAATTTGTGATACAATGTTTTGCATTAGTTTTGGTACATGATCCTTCCCTAAACACATTTGACCATTTCACAAAATTATTGCAGAATAAAACAAAAAATACCTCCATAAGACAGTTCTTACTTGAGTTTTACAAGTACATAGTTTAAAATTTATAATAAAAAATACAATATAGATAATACTACGTCCACTGTAGCTGTATATGCCTTAAATGTTCCAAAGCTCGATACGTAATATTAAGAGATGGTACAATATCATTTAAACCTTTTTCACCTATTAAACTTAGACCTGCCAGCCCTAAATATGTGTGTAATGGATCTGAATGGGTGTTTACCCATTTTGAAAAACCTCCAACAATATTATTTTGTGTAGCTAATATAAAACCACGATTATCTTCATAATTGGAATATTGAAATGCATTCAACATTTTAAGTGCAGCCCCAACCCAAAAAGAATAACAAGTGTCGATTGGTTTATTAGGCCTCCCTTGAAATCCGGTAACCTGTCGATTCAGCAACCATCGTCGTAAACCTTCAATTTGCATAGTGGAAAGTACATTCAACTTATTAATGAGACATAAGGTTGCTACTGCGCAGTATGATGATCCACCATGTGATTCGAGCTCCGGGCCTTGACCTATCCCATAATCATATGACTAAAAATTGAATTGTTATCGTCTACATTTTTATGCTTAACTTACAATACTATTTTTGATGAAACCAATTGCTTTGGTAGCGTCAATGGCAGACCAATCATTCAAAATGTAACAAATGCTTGCAGCCATAAATAAAAATCTCATATCATTTTCAGTACCAGATTTAGCACCGGTAAAGCAACCATCTGTCAGTTGCAGAGATTTTAAACCTACATGTACAACTAACAATAGGTTACGCTCGGGAATTTAACTTACTTTTAATAATTGCTCCTCTATTGACTTTACTTAAATCATCTCCTAGTATTATTAAAGAACAAAGTCCACAATAAGTACCTGCTAAATGGCTCCATTTATACAAAGAATTTGAATTTCTATTAAATAACGTGTTTACCGTGGAAGATCCTTGAAAGCCACTAACTAAATCTGTAAGAAATGCTCTACATGCATGTTTAGCGTACAATCTCTATACACTAACCTTCGTCATTCACCACTTGTAACGAATAGATCCATTCGATTATATGATTACGGCGTTCCGCATCAACAAGGTTTAGAGAATTTAAAATATCTAAGCTGGATATGATAAAGTATGCAATTGTTATTCTAAAACCACTTTATTTTTGAATCATATCTACCACTGGAAGGTATATGTGCTTACCTGGTAGTATCACAAGAAGTAAATTCCGATGGCAAACCTTCCAAAAAACGTAATAAATACTTTATGTGGACTTTACGATTCAATACACATTTGTTTTCTGGATCTATATTCATTTTCTCATAAAAATAAAGAAACGTATTTACTGTATTTGCAATTATTTATCATAACCTATTAATTCTGACTCCTTTGCCGCACAGCCGCACACTGTACCTTTTGTGACAACAGGTAAATAAAGGAGGCAACACACCAGAGTGGCCGGTGGCGTCTGGTGGGCTTTCTATTTGAAGGGGCGCCGAGTAAAACTTCGACATTTATAAAAAATAACAGTTTATTTTTACATGCTTACATGGTACTTTTTTTGAATAGAATTTCATCTTTCAACTTTATTATTTTTCAATTTCTTAGAAGTCTGGAATGTTCTGAACTAAAGTTTTTTCAGCAGTAATATCCCAAATGCATAGAAATAACCGAATAAATTTTGACGTTTTCGTAAAATTTTTTGCTTAGAAATACCCGAAATACCTACGACGACTCATTTACATTTTGCCACGTATTAGGGCGACAAAAACATTTTGGGTGGAAAATTGCCGAGAAGTGTTTACCAAAACAATTTGATGAACAACGACAAAATTTAGTCAGGCTATTTTTAAGCACGCAGTGTATTCGGCATATTTAATTCCTGAATAAATATTAAATTAGGCAACACAATTTGACGTTTGCAAACAATCGCTAAAATATGGACAGTAACCATCAGAGCTCTAATTAGTTAAATATACGATGAAGTTAACCAGAATTAATCACAACCATCTATATTTACAAGCCGTGCTGAGAATTATGGCAACACTGCAGGTAGGGTCGATTTTAGAATTCAACAGATTTTGGGTGTAATAAACCTATTTACCTGTTTTAACTGAGTGAGATTGCGACAATTTGCGTTATCTCGTATTGAATCAACAGAAATTATTATTCAGGTAAGTTGCTAAACGAAATATATCGATTTGTTGTCATAACCTTTAAAGCAGTTACTTATTATTACTGGACACTTTACGTCTTTACAAGTACTTGTATTTGTTCAAGTACATGAACAAGCTCAAATATGACTACATTACATACACACTACGTGGCCGCTAACGCTGAACGCTAAGGTACATTTACATTCAATTCAAAGTTGAATTGGCACAAGAATTTACGAAACTATCATTTACATTGCACGCGCCTTACATTCTCCTAACCTCACAATTAACGGTCAGCTGATTACTGTTTACATTTTATAAGTTGTCTTGTGGTTATTGAGAAATGAATAATAATCTCCATAAAGCAGTTATTTTGGGTTCTTTGGGTGTTGCAGTAGCCTTGCTAGCTCGTGATCGTGAAAATAAAAATAAAAAACAAGTACGTCGAAAAAGGAAGATGTGGGTTAAAGACATATACTTGAAAAGAAAGGAACAGGGCTTATTTAACAATTTAATTAAAGAGATGCAACTAAGTGACCCTGTCTTGTTTTTCAATTTTGCACGCATGAACGCCACCTCATTTGAACGTTTACTATTGCTGTGTGGAAATTATCTTACTAAACATTCACCAAGAGAAGCTATACCACCTTCGCTTCGCTTGATGCTAACGTTGAGGTTTCTTGCTACAGGCGACTCATATCCAAGCCTAGCCTATGCATTTCGAGTCCATCCTTCAACTATATGTAACATTGTATGGGAAACATGTCATATTTTATGGGCCGTTCTATCTCCAACATATTTAAAGCCACCTTCAGAAGAGGGCTGGCTAAAAGTGACACAAGACTTTTACAACTTATGGCAAATGCCCAATACACTCGGCGCAATGGATGGGAAACATATTAGAATCCGAGCCCCGTCTAATTCAGGATCAAGATTTTATAATTATAAAAAATACTTCAGCACAATTTTATTTGCTGTATGTGACGCCAAGTATAATTTTATCTATGTGGATATTGGTTCTTATGGAGCTCAGAGTGATGGTGGTGTATTTAGAAAATCCAGTTTGGGGCAAAAATTATTATCAGGGCAATTAAACTTACCAATAGGTTGTCCTTTACCAAACGATCCCAACAATTGTACTGTTCCAACATTTTTTATTGGTGATGAGGCCTTTCCTTTGCTGACCAATCTATTAAGACCTTACAGCAAACGGGAGAAACGTATGCCTGAAGATCAACTTATTTTTAATTATCGGTTAGTTTATAGTAAGTATCATGTTGATATCTGAATATTTTTAAGGTTGTCAAGAGGAAGACGGGTCATTGAAAATACCTTTGGCATTATGGTTGCCAGATTTCGAATATTTCTTCGCGAAATACATGCTGAACCAGAAACAGTTGATGCAATTGTTAAAGCAGTTGTATGCCTGCATAATTTTATTAAAAGTGAGAAAATTGACATGTATTATAACAGTTCAGTTGTAGACAGGGACACAAATGGTACTATTCAACCTGGCAGTTGGCGAGATATGGTCAGTGAAAATACAGCATTTCAATCTGGTACTGTACGTTTTGGGAACCGGAATGCTGCTAAGGCTGCCTGGAAGCTTCGTGACTACATTAAAGAATATGTAAATGGCGTTGGGGGTGATTTATGTCCATGGCAGTGGGATTGTATAAAAAGAACTGAATAATGTAGTACATAGAAAATAAAATTTATTTTGAAATTCACATTTAAATAGGATTTTAGGAATATAAAAATAACTTGTGAATTTACATTTACACAATTTTTCTTTTTGTTTGTAATAATCTAATTAATGTTTCATCCATAAATTCATTCGCTTTATCATATGGCCACTCTCGAAGTTCTGCACACAAATACCGTGCAAAATCTGTGAATTTATCATTGGCTACTGCACTGTTGCTCACCTTCTCAATTGAATTGCTAACTTTGGAAAGTATTTCAATTACAGGATCTTTTCCATTATCTTGGGTAATTTTCCGCTTCTGTGTTCGTCGAGGGGGTGTACTGCAAGCTGAAGTTGATGGCAATACAGATGAACTCATTTCATTAGATGGCACAAGTGTCACATCCGCAGCTTCTTCAAGTTCAATACTACTAAAAAAACAAGTTTTTTATTTACAATTACTTGCATAATTAATCACAACTCACCTTCTACCTGTATCGCTCAATGAACTGGACTGCGTACTAAAAATCGCACTATTAATTATTTGTAATGATATTATGAACTTACCTCCTTGGTGTCACATCATCATACATATATTCAAAGAATGACATAAATTGCCATTTATTGGTTTGGAATGCAGGAGCACCACTTCTAGACATCATTTCTAATTTATGTTTTTCCCGATTGTATTTCTCCTTAAGTGATTTCCACTTTCTTTTACAAATGTCGACTGCAAATTATACAATATAATTATGCTACATGCAGTTAGGTACCGAGTACTGACTTACCAGTTGTTAGCATGGTACGGGCAATATTTTCATAAGCCGTTTCTTTTAACATTCTGTTACTATATGCCTTGCTGCTTGGGTTGTAAATCGCAGGGTAGTTGCAAATGCATTTTAGAAATAATTCTTCATTAAACTCAGGTATTTCTATCACCACCTCGGATTCACTCTCAATACAATTCATATTGGAAGTCAAAGTATCAATACTATTGTGCCAGCTACGAAAACAATCTCCTAGTTGCAGAACTTTAATTAAAACGTGATTATGGATATGGATAACAATGTAAACAATCAAAAAATATTGTCAAAAAAGAACACTAACCTATAAATTTAACGTTCTGCTTGAATTCTTCAAGCGTGCTTGCGCCACTTCAAAGTGCACTTCGAAGTGCGCTTCAAATTTCCGCTTATGTAAATGGTAGTATGGCCACCACATTTGACAAGCTGTCACATATCAAGAGAAATTCGACTTTGAATTGAATGTAAATGTACCTTAA